TTGAACACCCTCCTCTGTCAAGACATCATGCTCGCCCCTGACTCGTAGCCCAAACGTTTGTGGATTGAGTGCGTTCCGCACTAGGTGCTTAAAACCACATTTGTGATGTAGATGGCCCCCTGTCCTCTGCAATGAACTGCATCGATCCATCAGGGATGCTGGCCACCTGCATGCCGCACTGTACGCCACCGAAAACACGAGGCTTGCTCGACGGACCGGTTCTGCCATTGGATTTGCAGAAGAAGCAGTATCAGCAGCAACGGCCTGCCATCTCATGCTGAAGGGCAAAAGACCACATCTCAGCTTTGGAGCTAGCCTTGCTTTTGTGCTGTTCAGGATCTGCAGCATCAAGACCAGTTGCCTTCCGTGCGGCCCTGCCGCCTGCCAGTCCGAAAGGTCCCGCAAGCAACGAAAGGAGAATTTCGCCGAGCCCTGCACGTGCCAGGGCTTGGATGGCGGTGGCCGCACTTTCCTGCGTCTCCACCTTGTCTATGGCTTTGGCCTTCTCCTGCAGAGAGCAGAACTTACAAAGACTCATTGAGCGCAATTCCGCTGGCCTCAGCCTTCGGGATCTCAAGGCGGAGGCCTCATTGTGCGCCCAAGGCACTTTCTATGGCTGTCAGCTGTGTTCTGTAAGTTCTTAGATCGCTGCTCACTGGACGAGTCTTCAGGCTTTGCCTCAGCAAGTAAGTTTGCGAGTCTGTGGCTCAAAGCTATGACACCACAAGCTCTGGGTATCCAGGCTTGAACGTGTCAGGGTTCAGATCCTTCACCTCAACCTCGTTCAGCGCCAGGAGCAGGTGCCCAGTCTGAATCTTCTGCCTGACTTCGCTCAGACTCACATGAGAGTTCTACCAGGCCCCCCCCTCCACAATTGTGCTGCTCTTGGTGCGCTGCAGTGCTGCAAAGCTACCCTCACTTACTTTGCCCACCTGCGTCGGGCACAAGTTCCCTTCCACACATCCCTCCGGCTGCACTGGGCATGCTGCAATGACAGGCTCGGGAGGAAGACCAGCAAAGCCGCAACCTCAAGCCAGGCTCGCCAACACTCGCAACAGCCGAGCTGCAATATTCTTGGGACCCTGACCGAGCTTGGTGGCAGGATCTGTAAGCGTGACTTCATACCTCCGGACTCGAAGCACAAAAACCACAATTCCTAATATCTGGGCTGCGTGCCCCCGGGCAGTCTCTGCAGCTGCCTGAAAGGCAGAAGCAAAAGCAGCTAATGCAAATTCGGCGGCCTTGGGGCTGCGTATGCCTCCAATCCAGTGCCTTTTCGGGCAGCATGCCCACCTCTGCAAACATCTACAAAGATGTGCAGACTCGAAGAGTCCCTGTTCTGGGTTTTTTCTTGCTGAGCCCTGCACGTGCCAGGGCTTGGATGGCGGTGGCCGCACTTTCCTGCGTCTCCACCTTGTCTATGGCTTTGGCCTTCTCCTGCAGAGAGCAGAACTTACAAAGACTCTTTGAGCGCAATTCCGCTGGCCTCAGCCTTCGGGATCTCAAGGCGGAGGCCTCATCCGACACGCACACTTAAATGACAGATGACTCTCAACATTTTGGTGCTGGCATTGTGTCACGTAAGTTGGGTATCTGGGGACGCAACTTACTGGCCGTCCTTGGAGGCATTGCCTGCATAGCTCGAGCTTGAGAGTCACGTCGAGCAGATGCACTTGTCCAAAGGTTGAAAACAGGACAACATTTTATGTTTCCGGTCATGTGTTACTGTGAACTGCGCGCCAATCTTCGAGAATGATTCTGTTGTGCAGCTTGCTTGCCAAGTGGCTTGAAAGTCTGGGCATTGAGCTCCGCGACTCGAATTCCGTTTAGGGCCAGGACCATATGTCCAGTCTCGATCTGGCTCCTGCAATAGGGGGCTCGCCAAAGTGCAGGAATGAGAAAGAGACGGAAGTTGTCCTCTCAGCAAAGCCCCCTGGCGACACCTTGCCAACCTCGGGCCAAAAGCGCCGTCTTCTTGGACCCAGCTGCGGAGGCTTTGCAGGTGATAAGAGGTCTGCCAATCTTCCCCCAGAAGCTTCAATTCTGCTTTGCGAGGAATGTGTTGCAAGAAAGGGCATACAAGTTTAAGGGCTGACGCCAAGGGCGGGCAACGCCGCAAGCGTGTGGGATATAACATGAGGGCGCTGGGGGTGAGAAACGGGACCCCGTGATGTGAATGATGCTGCACGACGGCGTAAGCATCATCGGCATCATTGGTCTCAACTCCAGGTTCGCTCCGTCAAAACGTATTCGCATGCCTGGAGACACGCTGCACCAGTGGCGCAGACTGCAAGCCAACCGAGAAGCAAAGCTTGCTACAACAGCGCCATAGGTCTGCAATCCCTTAGCCCGAGTTCCTCATTTATGCTGATGTTGCCACTGAACATTCAGAGGCTGTGCCCTGGCCCCAAGTGTGCTGCTTCGTTTCGTGAGGTCAGCCCATTACAGTCAGCTTTTAAGTCTGCTTCATCAGGCAAGCTGAGCTGGACCACTGTTACAGGGTCAGGAGGAAGACCAGCGAAACCACAACCTGAAATGGAGGAATTGAACTCTCTTGAGAAGACTTCCGCAAAATGTCTCAGCTGCTGTCCCAGTTTGCTGTCTCCGTCCTCAAGAATGACTTCGAACCTTGGCCAGAGCAAATCCGTTTCCGGTAAATTTGTTGCAGTTTGGGTTGCGCACGTGCTGGCGTCTGCCTTGCGGAGAGAATCTGTGGAATCACTTTGAACCGTTTAGGTGCATCCAGGTGCCAACCTTGGCCGCAGTGCTCTTCCTCGCCTGGTGCCCTCCTGAATTGCAAAAACTTTTCCCCTTCTTGCTGTTTGGCTGATCATGGCACTGGCTGGGCACTGGCTGGGTAAGGGACGTGCATGAGCCTGAATTGTCGTGGCCGCAGCCTCTTGCGCTTGCACCTCCTGTGCAGCCGCCGCCTCATCCTGTGCACCACACAGTGGATCACTCCACAAGTGCTCAGATTTATCAGCTACGCCAAATAGGGAGGTCCTTGGGAACTTGGAATCGCAGCCCTCGGTAGCAATGCTTTTGAAGAATCTGTCAGCTCTTACCAAGCTCTGAGAGCTGTACTGACAGGTCTCGCCTTGAGGCGGTCCCTTCATGGAACACACATGGTGGCTAATCAAATGACAACCAGCAAGGATATAGAAAGAATCTGAAGCAAAGCTTCATGAACGCAATGCATTTCAGCAACCCGCCTGAACACCGCATCTGTCAAACCTTTCAACTCTTCGCCGTTCACGGCCACGAGCTCGTAGCCCATTTGTACAAGGTTCCTTGGAATTCCCGCACTTCGCCACTTTCACCAGCTCTGCCAGCAGCCTGCCTTTCTGCAAATGAGCCCGGTGAAACTTTGGCCACCTCAAGCACCAACACCGAACGAGAACAGCATGGCTAGCCTCATGGTCTGGGAACTGGGCCACCGCATTCGCAGGAGGGGCACCGGAAAAAGTACAGCCTTCACTGGTGCTGCTGGCCACAACTCAACAACCCGCGAATGGGCTGAAGTGCTTCACGAGGCCTAGCTTCTCGGCCGCATCCTCGAGAACCACCTCGAGCCTCAGTCTTTAGACCCCTCCAGGGGGAGAACTCCAATGGGCCTGCTTAGCTGAGCTGGTAGCACGGCTTGGTGGAAGCCAATGCGTAGAGGACGTTGCTTCAAAGCCGCCTGTGACTTGTTCCGCGTGCGGCGCTGCTTTCTCTGCGCTCAACCCCCATCTTGAAACCCAGCTAACACTGAACAGCTTGAGAAATCTGGCGGAGCGCCGCCGGCCCGAGAACGCCTTGAAGTCTGCATCTCCCATGCCGGTGGTAGCAACTCCATTTAGCTGCAAGAGCCTGAGGATTGCAGCTAACAGTCACGGAACCAAGAAATGGCCGAGGATTGCTGACCTTGCTCCGGCTCGGATACCCACGAGCTCGGCCCATCCTCCCTTGCTCACATCCTCACAGCTCTTTCATGCTCTTTCCACCCAGAACACCTGGAACTTTTATGGAACTCAGGGAACGCATCAGTTCGTTGCCTTCACAAGCACTTCTCCTTCTGCAAACTGCGGAATGAGACCGAGCTTCACATCCTCAAAGCATGACTCCGCCAGCAGGAGCCCTGCTGGCTTTCCTTGCATATACTTTGATGTAGTGCATGGTGTCCTCCGCACTGGCCACCTCATATGTACAGGAATTGCAACGCTGCTGCACCAATTCTTGAGTGATAGTTGAGGATGCCGCTACCTCTCGCATGACCTCAAGGCAAAATCATAGAGCAGAATCGCACTTTTGTGCACGTGATAGTGGCGGCACTACGTGAGAGAAGGGGCTGTAGAACCGTAGAAGCTAGATGTTGATTGAGAGAAGGGATTGCCAGCGCTCCCAGACGCTGGCCTCGGACCGGCAATACCCGGTACAGCTCTATGGGACACGCCGACTCCGGCCTGGCTTGAAAGCATGCCGCTGGCCTTCACACAAAAAAGAAGCCTTCCAAACTTGCCGGGAAGACTTGGGCCAACAGACCATCGTCCTGTGCACTACAGAAGCTCAGAAACGAAGCCTTTCTCAGAAACGAAGCCCTGAATCGTTCGAAGCCTCGCCGAACTCTGGCGTGGCCCTACGTGGCCCACAGGAACGCATGGGAGTAGGCACTTGCACTAACTCAGCAAGTTCGTTGTCTAACAATCTGCACTGGAGATGACTCAGGCACTGCTTCTGATGCCTTTGATAAACGTTTTTGCTGCCTGGTGTCCATAAAGCGTCAGATTCATGAATTACACGTGAGTTGTATGGAGATGCCGACCTTGAAACAGCATTCCCCCCCGTTTTATCACCGGCACTGCCAACAGGGTGGCCAAGAGTCAACACACTTTGGTTGGGAAACAGTGACACGGCATCCTATTGAAAGTGTCGAAGCACAGCCCGTTAGCGTGCGACACCTATTGGTGCGCATCGGCATGGGCTGGCCGAATTCGGTGAGCGCGCTATTCGCTGCATCACTAAATACTTGATCTCTTTTCATTCTGAGCACGCATCTCGAGGAGGGTCGACCCGGTATCAACTGCACCACATCTGACTTTGCCCGCAGAAGCATCACGAGGCTCATTTGAGGCTCCGACGCCGATCAGCACCCTTTGTGGCTGAGCGTACGGGCCGATCTCCAGGCATGGCAAAATCGGCTCTTCTCTGAAGAAAGTACTACTGGGATCCAGGCTCAGTACATGGATTTGAGTCTCCTTGTGCTCCTGTGACATTCTGTGCAGGGATCTTGCCGGTCTGGAGCCATGCTTCTCTCTCCTCTTCTGGCTGCATGTACTCCTTGCTTTGGGTGTCAAAGAATACGAAATTTATCTGCAGCTCCTGCCAAGCTCTGGGTCTAGCAGGTGCTAAAGGGCTCCCAAGCCCTGCCTCGGGATCACTGCCTTTGGGAAGCGCATTTGCATCCTTGTAGAGGTAAGGAAATGAATAGGCAGAGGGTTGGAAAGGATTCGGACGTGCTTGAGATGCCGACGCCCTCACGGGTGAGGAAAGCACCTCTCTGTACCTGGCCGGCACGCAGCAGATGGAGACTTGCTCCTCAAGTATAGACGGATCCGACAGATCGGCATGGCCCTCAACAAGCTTGGCAAGGAATACACTGTAGAGCTTCGCATGCCGCAGCGTTCTCCGAAGCTGGCATGCACCACTAGCCTCGTTGCACCACAGCTGCAAGCTGGAAGCAGAGCTCCCGAACAGTTGGAACACGCCAGACGGCTAAAAGGCTGGCTCTGCGGCATGCAAAGAAAAAAGCGCCATTTCTTCGGGAAACACTTTGTTGACCTGGCGAGCGCAAAAGTTCATTGACAGCACCGCAACGAAAAAAGACGCTGCAAGGTTGCCTTCCTGCCCCGCCACTGACCTTTTGCGTGCTGAATCCTCCGGAGAAGCCACACTATGCCACAGTGGTTTTTCTTTGGAAAGGCAAGACATCTCAGCATGCGGCCACAAGGACAAGTCGGAATATGCTTGGCCACTGGTGAACCACATGCTTGGCAATCCGAACCTTCGCAGCAAATATCTTCATTCCCCAAGACAGACGGCTAGAAGAACAAAGAATGAAAGAGCGACAGGAAGGAAGAAAGGAAGAACGGAAGAAAGAAAGAGAGATAAACGAAGAGATGGAGCTGGAGCAGGATGGAGCAGGAGTTGGAGATAAAGAACGGCAGAGATACAAAAGGAAATGGAGATCAATAGAACAAGGCAAAGAGAAAGATAGATAGATAGATAGATAGATGCTTGCAGAAACCTGGCTGGCAACCCTGCAGCCTGGGTTCAGAACACAACATCCGGCCAAGCAAGGAGTCTAAGCCCTCGCCAGGTCTGAGGCAGATGCCAACGAAACCTGCGCCTTGGCCACCGAAGGAGAAGTGCCCGAGCACTTTGTCTTCTTCTACGGCGACTTTCACTGTAGTCTTCGCTGGATACAGTTCGAGCAGAGCACGGAATGCCGTGAAGAGACGGATCCCAAGGCCTGAAACTGTTAAAGGCTCTTACAGCATCTTGTAGCAACCATGACCTTTCAGACTCCGTGTTGGTGTGAAGCCTGAGGTCGTTACTCTTTGAGCTGCCTGTTCCACCAGGGCATTACGCACTGCCTGGTTGCAAAAATGCGCATCACAGCGGCCACAGCGGCTGGGCAGCTGAGAGATGAGGAACTGGCGTCTCTCTCCAGTACAGCCACTCAAACGCCGCGTGGAACAGCAGCATCAAAGTCCCCACCTGCGAGGCTCACCATGCACTTCATCTGGCTGCAGTGGGTGCGGGCAAGAGACTAGCAGCAAGGTGGCATAGAACTCTTCTCCAGCAGCCCAGACCCTGACGGCGTTTGTCGTAGCTGCATGTAGGCATTCTGAACACTGCGCGCCCTGAAGTGAGCTCCATTGTCCATGAATACACCACCACGGACCTTGAGCATAAAATTGCCACAACAAACACAGGGTGGCTAGTCCAGCTGAGACAGCAACCACATTCCAGAGCAAAGCAGTCCAAAAAGCAAGATGATGAGCAAGGCCCTGCAGTGGACACCAATTTATGGAGTCCTCCAAGATATGTTCTAGGCCTTCTTCGACGCCCCGTGCGAGCCAATGTCAAGGCCTCGGCACGGCTCCAGATGTTAAAGCAGGCTTGGGCTCACATCAGATGTGTTGCCTTCAGTAGTCTGTTGGGATTGTCGACGCTCCTGCACAACAAATCTTCGCTTGCCAAAAAAGGGCAGACAGGTTCCAATTGCTTCTTCAAGCCGCCTAGCCTTCCACCACAAACGCCGTGATCGTCCTCCAGCAGATCTACTAGATGGTGATAATCACCTTGATGGACAAGCTGCCCCGATGAGGGTGTGCTTCTCGGGGCCGCTTGAAGACACCCCTGAGGCCGCATCTGATGTCCATGGTATCGTAGTGCGCAGCGTGGAACCCGTATATGATGAACAGAATGGCGACGAAAAGAACCTTATATCGCACGCAAGAAAAAATTCCACAATCTGCTGGCCTGTACCCTCGGCACCAGGCTGAGTAGCCAAGCTGCCAAGGGTTCCCGGCTAGAACCAAAGTCAAGGCCTTGGATTCAAGAAGGATCCAGAATCCAGAGAAAAGAAATGGGGACTCTGAGCACGCGCGCCGCAATCGCTGTGGATTTGATGAGCTCATGGATGATGGCGAATACTTTTTGTAGCCTCGGACGGTTGAGGCTCGAGGCGAATCCGCTGAGGACCACCTGCATTGTGACAGCTGGGGATAGAACTCCATGAGCCGCCTGAAGTTCACCACGAAGCATCGGCCTCGGACAGGACTCACTCCCAGCAGTCGCGAAGGCTAACTTCACGAGGCAAGTCACCCAGATACTGGTCCTTGCCAGACATGTCCTTGCTGACCCTTCTCAGCCTCCCAGGCAGGAGAGCCTAATTCTAATTGCAGATGCAGAGATGCAAACGATGCCACAATCCACTCCACCGCACTCCAAGGCCTTGCTGTTGTCAGCCTATCGTCGTCTGTCAGCGCTGACAGACTTCGCCGTGTGCCCAGATTCAGATGATGACCTGGTGGGAGATCCAGCAGGTGGATAGCAAAGCCCCCTCAGCGAGGACGTGATTTTCAATGCCCAACGTTGTTCGGCTCATCCTCGAGTGTTGAAGATCATCGCGCAGTCGTCTTTGACTGCTTCATAAGACAATGCACCTTGTACATTTTGTGCGTAGGTGCACACAGGCAGTGTTCAGCACCGACCTTGCCACTGTCGGCAGCGCTGAAGTCCAGCATGCTTTGCTGAAAGGGTCGGGCGAATGGGTGAAACGGGATAAATAGATTAACATGCATGAGGACATGAGAATTTGGATCCGAGAACCGAATTTGCTATCTGCGGCGAAGCAGAACCTCAGTGACCCTGTCTTCCAGATTTGAAAGAACAGAAGCCCATGCAGCGCACCTCTCAACTCCGTACTCACACTCACGAAGACCTTTTGTCATCTGCTGCTGCTCCTCCGACAAGTGCTGCAGCTCGTCTCGCAGATGGGAGCACGGAACTTTATCACCATCACTCCGCAGCTTGCGGAGTTCCACCGCGCTGCGGCTCCGCTTGCCCGGCTTGCCCTTGCATTGTGGTTGGGGCTTCACCGCACCTGTGGCCCCAATGTTTGCTGGGGTCACATTGCGGCAGGCCTCGAGGATCTGGAGGTCCCGCTTGCATTGCCGGACAAGGCATCGCAGATTCTTTTGGGTCGTCGAAAGCTCATGGAGCAGGACATTTGAGCGCTGCACGTTAGTGGCCTCACCATGGGCGGTCTTGGACCTGTTCTCCGGCTTCTTCAAAGTCCATTCAGCACAGGACATCGCAAACTCCACGTCCTTCAACTGTGTGTCGAACCTTCTTCTCAGCTCCCGCTGCTCACTGCTACACTGAGACAGGCATTCCTGTGCAGATCGCTGGGCCTTGGAGCACTCCAAGTCAGTATACTGGATGGTGGACGAGGCCTTCTGGCACAGCTGCTGTGCCTCCATCTGAGCGGCCTTCACGCGTTTGACCCAGAAGCGCCAGCTGTCCCCCACTGACATGTAGGTGCCGTCGCTTTCCTGCTTCCGCTTGGCTGCAGAATCCTGTCGTACCGCTGCACGGCGCTGAGCCATTTCTTGCTTCAAGCACGCGTGCAACTCGACGAGCCCTGCACTGGCCGCAACCATTTCATCATCGAGAACATCGAGCTCTCGACGCATTAACAACAAAGCCTCCTGCTCCACCTCCAATGCCTCCATCAGATTTTTCTGTGCGGTTTCTGGCACTCCGTCTGAGCTTGAAGCGGTCCCTTGAGCGGTTCTGCCTTCGGCAGAGGCCGAGGCTCCAACCCAGTCCAAATCTTGCAGCAGCTCCAATCGGCGTTGGCAGACGGACACATCTGTGGAGCGGAGGTTCCGAGCATGGCGCACTCGGCTCCTAGCATCCTCCACATCTCGGAGCTGCGCCTCCAAAGCCCGACATGCTCCTGAAAGCTTTGCCACCGACGACACGTTGGCCTGAATGCGGCTGGTTGCTGCTGCACACTCCTCGCGCAGCTTTTGCACATAGGAAGAATCTGCTCGGGCTTCTGCTGGTTTGGACAAATCTTCCATGGCCATCTGTGATAGTGCTCGTGCACGAGCAAGTGTGACACTGCCAGCTGGTAGAGCAGACTTGCATCTGGTCAGCTCTGGAACTCTTGCCGGCTCGGCCCTGTGCGGTTCTTCGGGCTTTTTTTCGCGCTGGTCCAGGTCATGGCTTGAGTCTCCGGTGATTTGGTCTGCTTGCTCCTGATCAGTGGATCCGACCGCTGTGCTGGAGGTGGCAGCAGAGGGAGACAACGGCCACCAGAAGAGATCTGCTTCGCTTTGTAGCCTCCATGGCTCCGTCATTCAGCTACCCTGGCAATTGTCCGAACAAAGAAGATTGGGCCTGCAACGGCTTTAAGATCCACAGTCGCAGAAGCAAAGTCAAAGTCAAAGAACACGGAGTGACGCGGAGTTGATAACTGGCTAGGCCTGAGCCAGAACCCGCCAAAAGCAAGCTCCCGCTGTCCTGCTCACCATGAATCATATTCTTCATCACAATAAAAGCAAACCAAAGCAAAGCGAAGAGAATGCACACAGCCAAGCACCCAGTCCCTCAGCTCCGGGGCAGGGAGGCGGAGGCCAGCAAGCACGGCCGACTGCGCCGCTACCTGCTCCTGAAGGCATGTCTCTTGCGCTCCCTCACACTGCGCCTATGACTCCTTTATGAAAGCCCCGGTGGCAGAGGCAGCTCAAGTGTGGCATGCAGGCAATCTTTGTGCGACTTCATGACGCCTTACATGCGCTTGGTCTAGTTTGTTGTGACTGTTTACACACCGCCTCCGAAAGCCAGACTTCGGACCGCCCATCTGTGGGGTTCTGAGACAACAGTGAGATGCACGAATACGAAGGCTTGACTTCATGGAGGGCAAGCCCACACCTAGCTATCTCGTCAGTGAACAGATACTTCATGCATCCCTCACCACAGAGCTCACAATTACAACCAAGCCAGCGCCTCCAGACTCTCGAGCCTGACGGAACAGCACTTCCACGTTGACAGTGCACAATGCAGGCGCGACATTCCAAATTGCCTGCTGCTCAACGCCATTGACACTGCATCAGCCACACGGTCGACTGCCTGGCACACAAGGAATCACAGCTGCTGCTTGCTCGTATTTACGCCATACAATCGGGCCTCCAACGGGATCATTGCCGCCCTTGGCTCAGGTTTCGCAGGCCGCAGCGCCTGGCGCACGGTGGTGGATACTGCAGAAAACTCGGCCGCAAGGCCAAGGCCGCCACCTCCTTCAGAGAAGACAAGAAGGACTTGGCCAGCTGCTCAGCAACACGCTCCGCCAGTTCTGCAGTATCCACCTACAAGCGACATGCAAACTGGCAAAGATCTAAGAGCAGCGGCCGCATAGGGCCTGTGGCGCCGTCTGAATCTCTGGCTCTGGGCTAGGCCTACCATGGAAGGCCGAAGCTCAAACACAGTCGCGCTTGCAACTTGGGCGTCCAACCTTGGACTGTGATGTGCTCGGTGCCTTGCACTGTCCTGCTGACCACGTGCTGATCAGAACAGGCCGACGCCAATTTGAAGTCTGTTCGCATTGCAGGAGCTGTCCTCAGATGCAGGTGCTTGCGGAGACCTGGGCTGTGGCGACCTGGTTTGCGTCAGATGCAGCAGTCATGGGCAAAAACGAAGCTATCATTTGGCTGTCGTGAGGGGAGCTGGCACTGGCCGCAGACCGCTCGGCGCAGCGAAGTGCATCTCCGGCAGCCCATGGGCCTGACGGACGCAACGTCTCTCTGGCCGCCCAACGCAGCTGTTGCAAACTGTCCCTGAAGGCTTTGAGGACCTGGCAGGTGTCGGCCCTCTCCTGACACCGCCATCTTACGACATCACGAACAATGATCATTGCGAGGCTGGCTGCTGCTAGCCAACTACAACACGTTGGCACTTCCAAGCTCGCAACAGTTTCAAACAACATGCCAGGGGCGCGGACTGGGCATCCGAGGCCGCAAGCTCTACTTGACCCAAACGCAGCTGGCGCATCAGAGCAAAGTAAATTCAAGGATGCCAGGCTAATCAGAACATGATGCACACTTGAGCGCTGCCTTTTGGTGAAGCAGCGCCATAGCGAATGAGCTGCAAGTGCATCTCACACAGAGAAGGCCCTGAATTATGAATTTGCCTGGCTAATTGGGACGGTGAAACTTTCGCTGCAGAGCAGATCCCTCATTGGGTCTTGCACCCCATTCAAAGATACTCCAGGGTAGATCAGATTGACGTTCAAGAAGCGAGCTTGTCAGGAGCCGCCGGTGGATGCAAGGCGCTCCTCACAAATACTGAGCTCTTAGCTGCGTATGGGCCCTGAAAATGGACCGAGCAACGCGCCTTCACCCGACTGTCTACAATCTTTTGCAACCGCTCTGCTTCTTGTTGGGCAGTCCTAATCTTGCGACTCACGCATCACAAAGCTTCTGGAAGCTCAACTCTGGGGACCACTCTGCAAGATCCGCTCGCGCTGCTTTTCTCCAATCCTGTCACAAGCGGAGGAAGGCCACAATGTCTTGAGGTACTGTGGAACTCACAAATGATTGCAGTGACGCTGTGACAACCCAAAGGTTGTTTTGAGCATGCTCTGGTCCCTTCGCATTGCGTCTCCGCCATTCTGAAACATGAGTTCCTTCACCAGGTGCGTACCAAAATGGTTGATTCTTCGGCAGCGTAGATGCCTCTCCGATGTTACGTCATGTTACACATGGTTTTCCTTTCTGCTTCGCAGACTAAGCTGGCAGGTTCCAGCCACCAACCCAAGCCTGCTTTCAGCAGCCCTTTCTCCCAGAGCTTGCATGAGCTCAATCATTTGGGGCTGCAGACTGGAAGCTCCAGCCTTGCTGTGGATGGGGATGTCCTTTTGGAACGGCCCAGCCCGCTGGCAAAGGTGCCGAGTCTGGTCTCTGCCGTCTCCCATGCTCTGAATTCGGCTGGCCAAGCGTGAGGTTCGCCAGTGCGTAGGTTCGAAGTTGAGAACTGAAAGGATACTCACCTGGCCTGTCTGACAGCTACGAGAGATCTGCAGCATCAGTGGGCGACATTGCGCTGATTGGCGCAGGGATGGTGTGGGCCACTCCAAAGCCGTGATAGACATGTTGAAGGCAGGCCTCCTAATGAGATCTTCCAGCGTGGCATTCTCACCTTGGCCAGCTTTCATGTTATCGGAGCAGAATCGCGACACGTGCCCTCTCAGGCAGTGGCTCATTTCTGCCAAGAGGTTTTCGATATAGTCCTTTTCAACGGGTCAGCAAGCCATGCCCTGCCTCAAAAATTTGGTGACGTTCCTGAGTGTTCTTGTCCACCATTCTGTTTGAGCCTGAGTCTGAGTGCTGTAGCGTCTCTTCACGGTGGACTCTGACAAAGCACAAGTTGCCTTTCTGTCGTCAGGCTCAGGCTGCACTGCTCGCGTCAGGCTGGCTCTGTTCAAGCTGGATCAGATCTCAAGTGCTGCGGGAGTGTGATGGCTTGGCTTCAGACAGTATCAATTCTTCGGCTGCTTGCATGCAACTGTATTCTTTGGCTTTGTTTTTCTCGCTGTGCCTTGGTTTTCCTTGAAGAAGACCAATGCAGGAGTTGTCCTAACGAGCTAAATGCTAAGGTGCACGAAAGCGCAGCTGTCTGCGCAGAAAATCGGCACTGCGACGGTCAAACCGAAGCCTGGGTGCGGAGACATGTTGGCATCTTGGGTGATGAATGATTTTTGCAACAGAGTATAGCCTTCACATCCATTGAAACTTACAGTCCGATGGAGATGCTACACTTCACCACCCCTGCAGAACCCAAACAATGATCCAGCTGACAAGGCAAGTGGCTGCGCACATCAGTGCTAGAGCCGTGAGCAGGAAAACCACACAAAGGGCGCAGAGCGTTTTTTGTTGACAACTCTTCCCTTGCAGCTCCTGCCCGTGGGACAGGAGTTCAAGATGCTGTGACTGTAGCAACCACCAAACATTTGGATCCTTGAAGAAGAGGACTCCCACCATTAAGGAGAGCAGCAAGCTGGAGGACCCAAAGATAAAGCCGACAGCCTTTGAGACCACCGGCGTGCCTGAAGAGATTAAGCAGATCCGTAAAGGCCCACTCTTTCACATTGCATTGCTAGCCTACCAAGAACAGGAAGTAGCCCATGCCCACGCAGGTGCCCGCAAAGGCGTCCCACATCAGGCCCTGCGTACTAGAGCAAGGACACTTCAAGCAGATCCAAAACAATGTAGGCAAATCTAGATGTTGGAGATACACGGCAGCCTTGCGACGCTGCTTGCACGCTTTGAGATAGCCTTGCAGGATTGCCATTGACAAATTCCTTCAGGGTTGTGGTACAGGGTTGCCAGACGGGCCACTGCTCCAAAGGGAGCACAGGATCTGCCACACAGAATGGCCCATACGCCCTTCTTGTCCGAGGGAGATCCAGTGGAAAACCGTCACCTGGCAGGCACGACTTCTGCTTGAGCAGAACAAGTGACCCCGCTGCAGTTAATGATTCACCAAGGCAGAAGCAAGCGGGAAAATGGCAAGCAGCTGGCCCACCCTGGCACATGGCACAGCTTAGCTAAGTACCACAGAATGCTGCAATCGACACATTGAAACAACTTATTGAAGGGGGGCTGGATCTAGTGGAGCAGGAAACATTAATGTATCACCGAGCGTCATGAAGGAAAACAATTGGCCTGGATGCACTTCCAGCGACGACGTGCAGGAGCAGACGCTGAGAATCAAACGGACACAGAATGAAGAGCCCAGTGGCTGAAGGGAGTCAGTTGTCCAGCTGTCGCAGCAGCAGTATTGATTGGTGCCATGCTTCCCTGCACACAAGAATCCACAGCCAGTTCAGTAGAAGACAGGAAAGGCCGCTGCGCACAGCATGCTCGAACTGGTATGCCACAAGAACAATTTCTGCCAAGATGCGCACAGCAAACCTGGGGCATGGTGCAATGCAACATGTACACATTGTATTTCCAGGCATGTAGCCTGTAGAAAGAAGAGAAACTTTGAATGCAGGAGAAGATATGTAGTTTGTAGGAAGCCAGGCGGCCACCAGCTACTGGGAGCAAGAAAACGGAACAGTTCCGATCAGTGCTGGCATCTTGCGGGGTGGCAATTTTAACCTCAGCATCAGCAAATCCTTTGCACATGCAAGCCTTTGCCTGACGTGTATGCAAGGTGCTGCCATGGCACCTCTTCAACGGTCGCAGCTGAGGTGTTGCCCATGGACTGGACACCAAGTGGCGCATTGCAGCAGTAACCGGTGCAAACTGCATGACGCAGACAGGACATGTCAGTACCAACCTCGGCTTTGGATGCACTCACATCGTTACGGGAAGATCCTGCACTGGAAGCTTGACACCTTTCTGCATGCATCAGACCAGGACAATTCGGACATGTTCACGAACCTGAGCCCTGAGGAAATTGCCTCGCCTGCTGATTTGGGCTCAGCATGCGAGGCGGCATCGCCTTGGCCAGACTTGTGTAACTTACTGCGTAATTTTACATAGCATCTTATCGAGATTGCGATGATATCCAGGTCACAGAGTATGCCGAGCATGCATGCGCCAAGCCCAGGGAAAAGCAGCCGGGGATCCTTTGTCGGAGTACAGGGCTGAAATGGGCTCAAGCTACGCAGACAACACATCTTACGCCGAGCAGAAACGCCAAACTTGCCGAGCCACAGCCTTGGGCTCTATCGCATAGCTAAGACCTGTTCCACACGTCAAGGCCAAGCCGAAACCTTGGGGCAGCATTTCGACACATCGACTTAAAGACCTTGGGTCCTCGGGTGCAGCCAAGGCACCAGTCGGACATGCTACCGCCAGTCCGAGCCTTGTGTCAGACATGCAGTGCTGTGAAGGCAGCATGCCAAAGCGCCTCCTTCTGCCCAGGTGCACATCGATAGCTTTGGCCATGACGAAATCACCACTACAAAGCAAGATGCCCGCCAGCACGGCAACCAGGACAGCAACAAACTTCCTGAAGGTGAGCTTTCACAGGCCGCGGGAGGCTCACGTGCAACGGCCCTGGTCAAACACTAATCCAGGTTACGAGATGTTGTGCCACACCTGTGGAGTGACAATGCTGCTGAGGATCTCAGAGACCTCCTTCTGAAGCATTTGAGGAAATACCTCTGTGTCCTGTCATGCTGTGGAAGGCTGAAATCTCCAACACAGCCAGCACTGTGAGAAGCAGCTGAGAGCCAGGCAAAGTGTCTCACATCTGTTGGATTTGCCATACCAAGCGTAAAGCAGAGAAAGATGGAGGTCACAAATTGCGAAAACACGTACCTCGGAAACCACATCATGAAGTAGGCTTTCAAGGCCCGGCCACTCAACATGGCTGCCACTCTACAGCGATTCAAACAAGTCGCGTCAAGCCAAAATTCACGGTGTCTGACCCTCCTTGCTTTCGTGCTGATGGCCAGATACCCCAGCAGAACCTCAGAGGCAAAAATTGGGAAAGGCTGGGGTCAGTGAACAGAGGTGATCCAAACGTACCCAAACAGCAAACAAATAGGTGCAAAGTTGGTGAAGGACTCGAGCGGGGAGATTGGGCATTTGTATTGTAGCACTAAAGGAAAACCACCACCGTCGCCGCCATCGCCGGCACCGCTGCAGCTGCAGCAACAACAGCAGCAGCGGGGGCGTCGGCGGCAGCAGCAAAAGCAATCAGTCGTGATTTGGACAGACAGCCGAGAAGCCATAACACAAACATCATCGGCAGAGCCACATCGCTGCTCTCCGGGGCAAACATGCCCTCTTCTGTCAGGTAGAACCTTGGGCACAGCACATCACGGAGCTGGAAATACACAGCTTCAAAGAGAAAGATCAAGTTCCTGGCAAACTGATTGCATGGGAAGCCAGCCAAGAACAAGCAAAATTTGGTGGAGTTGGTTAATTACTTGTCAAATTTGTCAATCAGTTGCCTGGGTGGAGTCCATTTTCAGTTGGATTGTGTCAAGGCAGCTCATGCAATGTGAGGGTTTTGCCTTTCCGCAACTTGTGAATATGTTTGCGGCTGCAGACCAAAACAGCACAGTCCCGACCAAGACAAAATGCGTCATCAGCACAACCAGCATTGACAATTGAAGGAGCAAGTGCCGAAAGACATGTTTTTTTTGCTAAGCCACGCCATGGGGAGTCTGCAGGCTTTTTGCGCAGGGAAATCACAGGGCGAAGCTGCAAGCAATCCCAAGAGCGTCCGAAACCGACTCCCAGAATTCTTGCCATCAGTCCTTCTTCCACCTCCGGCAACAACGGCGCAGTGTGAACTTCAACCGGGCAGAAGCCACCGCTGGCTCTGTCCATGAACCCTGACGACAGGTTCGCACTCTGCGGAGTTGCATGCTGACTTGAACACCTGTGGGCCACAGCGCATGGCCTGGCAAGCCTTCTCCTCCTGTGACAAGAGCCTAGGAATCAGGCTAAGCTGCTCCAAATAGAATGACGTGTTCTTCCTCAAGTCTAGCCGCTTGCTTTTCCACACTTCCTTGGCCTTCTGTCTATCCTCAGCTAATGGGACTCATGGCGAGGAAAATTTGCGCCCTCAATCCACCGTCCTCTTTGCACGGGTTTCCCTCTTTGTTCAGCACAGGCGCCTGTTTCTGCAGCTCAGATGCCTCTTTCAGCGCCGAGCGCAGCTGCCGATCACCAGGGATGAGGCTGTCTGCCTGCTGAAAGGACTTGCACGACTCTTTGCAGGAGGCATTGGCCCTGCCTGCTTCAGGGCTTCAACAGCGTCCTCCGCAAACCCACGCTGGAGATTTGCAAAGCCTGCCACAGGGTCAACTCCTGCCACGGGTAAACTTGCTGTCAGTCGAACACTTTTGGCCAGCCACGCCTTTTCTGTACAAGAACTTTCCTTTTGCATCATTGTCAGTTAGTGCGGCCTTTTCGATGTGCCGCAATCCAATGTCCGCTGCCTTTTTTGTGTTAACCCAATCCTGTGCTTTGAGATATGCGCCGCAGATATTGCTGATGACTTTCAGCTTCCTTCAGGGTGCTTGGGCAACAACATCAGCAGAATTCCGAATGCTTGGGCAAGCTGCCTTGTGTTCAGGTCAAGCTGGTGATGGTCCATTAGATTCCACTGCTGCCCGATATCAAAGTCCAGGTGCCAAATGGCTCCGTAGTATCGCTGCCGTGCCGTCCCAAAATCCCCAGACTTGAAGAGCTGGTTTCCTTCTTCCCGAAGCTTGTCAGCTTCCTCAAGCCCTTGGTTCCCAATTGCATTCTAGTTCATCCTACAGCTTTACTGCACAAAAAGATAATAAGGAACATTGCAACATGCTGATGCTGAATGACATGGGGGCAAAGGAGCTGAATTCAAAGACATCGGAGCGGGCATGTCCGTTTTCCTTGTTCCAGGCGATTATGTCCCGCTCTTCCTCTTCGGAGCAGAAGCATCTCAGCAACGACTCGTTGTCGAAGTCCATCGGATATGCTCAGCAGGTGTCGAAGCATTCAACCGACACAAGGTCAGGACTATACAACATCTGGGGTGCATGCTCAAGGGGTGTCGGGAAGCAATTAATGAATTTTGCTGCTCCAAAGGCCATTGCCAACTTGCTTTGTGCAACAACGTTCAAAGCTTAAGTCGTGCATCTCGCGCAAGCTGCAGAGACCAGCTGTCATCCATGGCACGCAGCTTCAATGCAGTCAGTTAGCACTCTCCAGGAAGCACAGCATGCGGTTTTATCAAAGCAAACATGCCAGAAAAGCTGGCGAAATTGTAAGGTGAGACTTATCCTGGTCAGCTGGCCACTCTCACCCAACCTCACCACATGCGTTGTGATCATTTGGCATGCAACCAGAACTGCCCTAAAGCATACTCAGATCCCATCAAGCTCCAAGTGCCAATCTCAAAAAAGAGGTTGTGATGCTGCAGCAAAAGCCAAGCGTGGCCGAGGAGCGGCTCAGCCCAAAGGCAGACGGATCTCGATCTCCCAGCATTTCCTCTCCAGCTCGCAGAACCATCACTACCAATTGCATCTGACTACGGCAGAATCTATACTGCTGCAGCATTGCCAACAAGCGAGAATCCTGGAACAACCTGTACCCATCCCTTGCCCAAAGAGCTGGCCTCCACAGCCTGGCGCCGCTCCAGGTCAAAGAGCTGGGGATCCCAGCCTGCGCCACGGCAAAGAGGTGCATCCTTCCCACGGGTGTCAAAACAAGCCGGAGTTTCGTCGCACTTCCTGCTGCATCCAGACAGGGTCATGATCCAGGCCTGCGAGGCTTGCAAGTTCAGGTTGCAAGTTGCAACGTGTTTAAAGGGCTCTGGTGACAGGGCCTGTGGCGGCATCATAGTCGGGATGATACCGCCTGCAGCGCAAGCAAGACAGTATGTCACTATCACTTAGCCCCGCAACCCTATGCAGTCATCACTAAACAGTCTTGCCTCAAACGTGGATGCTGAGAAAGAGATATTTCTGGTCTGTCTTGAACCATGAAGACGAAGTCCTGCCATTGAACACTCTCTTAAAGCGCTGGGATTGTCACGACGTGGTCACGCTACCAGCAGCGCAGCAGCTCCTCCGGCGGCTCTGTGGCCTGCAACTTCAGTCAGCTGTCAGACTTTGACATGTCCAACTCTCTGCCTCCTCGATCTCTTTTTTCAGGATGTCTTCCGGCTTTTCCATGAACCTCAAGCCCATGCAAATGCATAAATCTTGGCAGCAAAGTGTTGCCTGCAAGTCGTCCCCGTGCAAGCAGCGTGGAGGCCCCAAATGGTCTCCTGGCATTCAGCAGAACCTGCAGTGTGCGCTCAAAGAATGCTCAAGGCCTGCATGCCCGCACTTACCACAACTTGCAAACTCCTGGCGAGCAAGGAGCTGCGTCTGGGCCCAGAGTTCAGCCCTGGCCATGTGCAGGCAAGGTGGAGCATTTCGAGAAGAAAACACAAAGCAGGGGATAGTTGAGTGCCAGATGTATTCTGCTCCTTCTCATGTACACTGTGACTGAAGCCTTTCAACCCCACCTGGCGACCTGGACTTGCGCTAGGAGCCTGCCTGAGAGCGTCCAGCAGCACAGTGGGATGGACCCTCAGCACAGCGGGAGAACCAGAAACGACTTCGGGCAAGGCACGCGGGAGAAGCAACCAGGATTCACCTTGCTAATGGCCATGAAGATGGTAACAACTTGCCTGGATTGAGATCTCTTGCAAGCATTCTGCCATCGGTGGCCTAGACATGTTGCCTCCCCCTCTCCCTGGCAATCACAACCCTTTTTGCGGCGTATGTCTCTCACCTCTTACCTCTTGAACCTAAGCAATGAAACGAATCCACTCCGTTCATTCCAAGGCTCTTCTGCGAAGCACCAGGTGGAGCAGCGACCTGTCAAAGCTGCCAGAACCATGCTTTCTGCAGCATAGCGTTGGACGAGTGATGTGCCTGTGCATTGCCTCTTGCCCGGGCAGCCGAAATCAGTGCCTGCCTGCACCAGAGAACAATCTCACCAGCATGCGTAAACCGGTGAGATTGAACTCTTCCCTTGCGCATGCGAACGCGACAAGTGATGGCGTCTTGAGATACGTACCCTGTTCAATCACTTATGTTTAGCAGTTTAGCAGAACTTAATAGAATTGCGTTCGTGCTGCGGCCAAATTAGGCATCGCACGTCATCCAAGCGGCCCGCGGGTCCACTCGATCAAGCCTCTCTCTGCAAACCTGGCAAAAGCTTAGCCAGCCGGTTACAAGTCCAGCAACAGCGGTTAGTGAGGCTTACGAAGCACCTTCAAGAACTCCATGTCCTTCCAGGAATTTATTGGTTCACGTAGCTGTAGCTTCTTGTCGAGTGCCTTCTTCCAGCGGGCTCTCACTCTTTCCGCAAATCACTCCTCCATCAATGTCCAAAAGGCCTCCATGATTTGCTTCGGCGAATCTTTGCTGAAGATCTCTGCCACAAGCGGAATGTAACTGGCGGCAATGACAAGGAATCCATCCCGCATGTGTACAGGACAAATTCAACGATGTCCTTCGCTGGAAGCCTGGCGCGTCCGGGTCGCCAGAGATGAGGCCGCTGTCCTGCTTTGAAGAGCCCGTTCGTCCGAGCAGCGTAGATTGTAGTAGTTTGATTCCGAAGTTGCTTGGATGACTTGTGGGCTTTGATTTGACCTGGGTTTGAACATCTCGTATCAAGCAGCAAAAACCAGGGACTAAAAGCCTAGGCGCGCGCCTCAGGCAATGGCAGAGAATGCTCCAGTAGCAGCTGCGCTGCATCACTCTCAGAGACCTGACGGGATTTTATGAGGAGTCACTTTTGGTGCGACAAGCCATGCCTCAAGTTGCTTCTCCGCAGTTAGCTCCAGGAATGGCAAGGCATCAGGCGAGAGCCAATGCCTGGCAAACAGATGTGCTTCCCCGATGTTGCGAACTGATTTCTCGGAGCGCTGGTTGGGTTGAATTGCGGTGAACCCATGTTTGCCAGCAGGGAGTTGAGCAGGGAGTCCAGTCCATCTAGATTGTCAACCTGTAAAGGTTCGGCTTCGTGCGGAACGCTAACAGTAGACAGGTGCAATCTCCGTCTGCACCCATGATTCCATGGAATTTTGCCTTGCCTAGAAATGTTGTTGTGGAAATCGTTGAGCATTCTTTTTGCAGCCTTCTCTGTTGGCGTCACTCATCTGTTGAATCTGTCCCTGCTGTGTTCAACCCGTTTGAATCACCTCTCTGCGTACCGCCGGACCTGGCAGCAAAACTAATCAAAACCACAAGGTCGTGAAATGTGCAAATAAGGACATGCCAGGCTGACTGACACAGCCCTAAGGATACCAAATCGGTACCGCGAAGCGTCCTCGGGCTTGTTTGGGCTAAAACTTCAACCTCCAGCCATCAAAGAAGAATTTTGTGGGTACGGAAGCTGGGAAACCGGCCAACCAGTCAAGGCGAGGAACTCGCCGAGATTCCACTTCAGGGATCCAAGCCTGGGAGCGACCGCTCAGTGCCACCAAGTGCCACCAAGTGCCTTGCAGAGAGCCGAGTTCGATGCAATGCAGTCATGCCTCCCATCGGCACCAGCCCATGAAAGCAGGAACGGACCTTCAGAGTCTTCACCAGTGCTGTGAATTTTTGCTCAGGCCAAACTGAGCTTCGCCACCGAGACTTCAGATGTGGCATGTGCACCAGAAAATGTTGTGAGCCCAGCCAGGGCCTGAATCGCAGCTCTACACCGCAAGCAGCCAACACACTCCACGTTTTGCCAAGCCGCTGCACCACCATCACGCGCTATCCCGCTCAGCTGGCAAACCAATGGCCTTTCGTGAAACTTGAGCACCATCCAAGTTGACGGACGCTCGAGGCTGCCACTTCCGGTAATCGGCCACTAGGAATGCCAGCTCCTGCAAGCCAGAGATTTGGGCTTGAAACACGCAGCTCATGAACCACTCAGGCACCTGGCTGTTCCAAAGCAAGGCCTTGGAAAATGGCGCCAGGTCGCCGTTCTTCTGCGCCTTGGTTGAAGCATGGTAGGTCCTAGCAGCGGGGTTGTGCCACAACAAGGGGCTGGGCATAAACAGCCGCAAGTAGCATCTCTTTGGGATCCAGACCTAAGTGGGCTCGGTAGATATAGCCATGTTAAGGCCCTTTCTGTGTGTCGCCAACAGTATGGGGGGGTCACCGATGCAAAAGCGACCCGTCCCGAAGGAGCCGGGACCTTCCCTGTAACCTTCCAGCTCACTGTGGAAGCCCCTCAGCATCAGAATGCACACGCTGAACGAACAAAAGGCTGCACTAGCAGATCCCAAACTCGCCCCTCGCATCATATACTGAGGTCTGCACAGGTCTTCTCGGTCTGTTTCAGCTCTGTCTCGGAACTCCCTCGAGAAAAGAGTCTCGAGCGGTGGTTGTGGGTTGTATGTCATTTGATCGGTGCAAAAAGTTTGCCAGGCCCATGACTCAGCTGCTGTGAGCCCAACAAACCGCTTCAGGCTGTTGACCTCCAGATTCCTTAACCGCCTCGGGATGATGCACGGAATCTCCGGAAGATCTTGAATCTTGAGGAGCCACAAAAACCCCATCAAGGCCACGTCTTGTACAACTCGTTCACAGTGGGGAGGTCTAAACCTTCCGCCTTAGCACAGACTTAGGCTTCAGTCACAAGTACAAGAACATATGTGCCAACATGAATGCAGCACTGCGCTTGTGATTTCAGCTTGCGGATACCGGCTGCAAGCCTTTTCCCAAATTCTCCACAACATACTTCAATGCATCTACGCTTACCTGGTCTTATCAAGTAGCAAAGGGCCACTTGATACACCCCGCCGCCCCCTGCGAACATCAAATGAGGCATGCGTTTCGCGCCCTACCAAGCCAATACCAAAGTGCCCTCATGGGCTTTGCTTTCAGCACCAATTGGCAACAAGATCTCCAACCAAAACAAGGCGATGTGTTTTGTGGGTGGCTCTTGCACCATCTTCGATCACCCCCAGCCATCAAGCTATGATCGGAGCGTGGCATTCTGGTCATGAGACATGCTGAGCCATGTGCCAGAAATTCACTTGGCAGCCTGTGGTTGCAGTCGTGCACATGAGACCAGCTGCTCTGAGCCTTTGGCTCGGTTGAGGACTAGCATGCCCATGCCAACGTTACTTCGCCTTTCCCGTGAGGACTCTCATTCGCAATAGAATTCCATCATGCTGAGCCCGCCGCTCAAGCACTTTGGCCTGTAAGGTTGGATCATCCATGTGCCGCCAGCGCCTTGAAGGTCAAATGTCGCACAGCCCCTCTTGGAAAGGGCCTCACAGCTTCGCTATGCTTCTTGCCCGTTGAGGTGATCGGCAAGAAGCGATGCCTAAGCAAAACACCGCAGCTGGCTTGGGCCGGCTCTGCAAATGCGAGCCTCCGGATCAAGAAAATCTGCGTCATCTGTGAAGTAGCCAGTTCCTAAACATGGCAGTTGGGCCAAAATATAAGAAGGACTTTGCAGCCAAGGCTAGGACGGATTAAACGATGATGCACCAGAGTGCATGGAAGCGCCCTGCACCTCCATCCTGCACAACCAAGCACTGATCTTCAAATGCTCGGAGATGTCAACACAATGAAGGCTCAAAACGTGCTAGCGAGCGGCTATGCAGATTGGTGGGTGCAATGCGGCCCCAAGATGCCTGCGACAGTCGGCACAGGAAGATGCAAGCGCACTGTCTTCCGGCACTTCCCCAAGGTCCATACTCTGACTGAGGCGATCATCATTCGACCATGGTCATGATACAACACAGCAGCTTATTCCTTACAAGCAATGAAAACTATGGCGAGGGGTCGATACAACGATAAAGCACCCACGACATTCGGCGTATTCGGCAAGAAGCCAAACACACATGACATTACGAAAGTGCATGGTGCTGAGGACTGCTGCTAGTTTGATGACTTTGTTACATGGAGAACACAGGTGCTACAAAAGAGCCAGGCAGTTGGCGCACGCAAGAAGAGCAACCCCACAAGCGAGCTTACGGCTGCAACAGCGTCAGGATTTTGTCGCTAGCTTTCATCGGCATCTTTGGCCGCGCGTTGTTTCCGCCGCCGGCCTGGGAGCACGACAGAGAAGTGCCATTCAGGCATGGAGTCTGATCAGGGCAGTGCCTTGATCGCCGTCCTGCATTGCCTCCAAAGGCGTCATGCTGACATGTCTAACTGGAAAAGCAAACACCACCTGTCTGCCTCCCCCTCAAGTGCAGACACAATCGTTTTTAACCTGCACTTTCCACAAGGTCTGACGTGTTCTAAGATCACATGGCTAGAAGGGCAGATCTGAGCGCTGAACATCTTTCTGTCACGCGACTTGTGCGTCTCACAATTACGGGCCTCCAAGGCACACTGATGCCCATGTACTGGCCCGGCCAAAGCAAGGCGGACGTTTCCTGCCTCATACCACCACTGGACTTGCTGCTGCATACCTGCGTACAACAGCTCGTGTGGCACCTAAGCTCAGGACAATCATCTTGCAGGTCAAGCTAGGATGTGAACCCGAACACTGAGCTGTGGACTCGGGCTGCAAGTTCACGCCATTTCTTTCGATTCATGAATGCAGACCACCATGTGTTCACCTGGGGTGCCGCCGCCAGGCCGTAGAACCGGAACACCAAGAAGCCTCAAGCTTCTGGGATGCAGGCACTGGTCCATTCCACCTCCTTGCAAGTGCCACAAGCTGAATTCATATGATGCGAGCGCACCATGGCTCGATCACTTGGGTTGCGCGCCCTCGGATCTTCGAAGTCAAGCTTTCGTAGCTTGCGCCTTGAATGGGCCAGGCCTGCCCCACCCGTCTAAACAACCGAGTCCAGAGCTCAGCTCCACACAGGAGATGCCGTACAAAAATGTCCGGTTCCACTGGAAAGCCATACTTGTCCTGAACCGCATTACAGAAGCCGTGCGTCCAGGCTATGGCACGCGCTATACAGATCCAATGCTTAACATGATGTTGCTGTGATCCTGGTAGGCGGTCAAGCGCGGCATCAGGTACACGTACCACCTTTGCATCAACCTGACTACGAGGACCCTACCGTGCCAGACTTCCTGAACGGCCCACATCAAGAGGTCAACACAATTTGTCCATCCCATTCAGGCCACCCAATGGGCGCCCAACATCTTGTAGCCACGATGGGGCAACCATTTCTGAACCTCACAAACAAACAGTTTGAAACCGGTGCGCTGGACAGTATCTTAGCTCAGCTGTGCACTTTAGTCCAAGGTATGTCTTTTGTCGGCAGCAAGCCTCAGACTGCGCAGATCCCGCCCTGGGAGCAACATATGGTTTTGTTATCCAGGGTCTGGTCCCTCAATCTATTCGGACTTGGTGCGATGGCATTGGACGTTTCCCATTCGCCCACCGCTCTTTCGGACTGTGCTGAGACTACAACTTTCTGTTGTATGGCAGATGGCCATTCGCAGTCTCCAATCCTCATGCGGCAGCATCTGAAAAGAAGGCTGCCAACCGTGCTTTCACAAAGCGTGACAAAACACAACCAAAGTGCTTTGGTCAATGCACCAGCTCAGCAAAGCTAAAGAGTCAAAGCAAGTCAAGATGATACTTCTATGCTAGATGGGATAGAGTCCTCAGCAGGTGTGAAGTTCCCAGTGGACTTGTTGCCACCACAAAGCTCTCTCCACTTGTCACGCACAGTGTTCGGATTGACCTCGAATGCAAGGAACTTCTTCGACGTCTGGAAACATCATCAATGCCATGCAAGGCATCTCAGCCAGGTACACCGAGAATGTTGGAGATGTTGACCCAACTGCCAGGCGATCTCGCACTGAACATGTGCCGACTTAGGTGTCTTTTTCCACTTCGCTGTACAACCGGCCAACCTGGGACGCTTCGCTGAGCTGGCCTGAGTCATGTCAACGAACTCTTTCAAGCAGCACAACGCATGGATGGTTACTTTTGATTCCGAATGTTGGAGCAAAGCGTGCGAAGATTTCAACGGCGAAATCATGTGAACGGATCAAAGCAGAGAAAGTGTTGTACTTGGAGGATGCTGTACCACCTGCGGCGAGACCAAGTAATCTGCCAAGGCTGATAGCCTGGGGCGCTTGGATTAAAGACCGCCTGAGAGGTTTGCCTCGGGGACTCGTCCAACATTGAGGTAGTCCGGCCCCGCAATGCTCCAGACATTGGCCGCAAGGCTTCTCCCACTGTTCCAATGCTGGCCTCCAACACCCTTCCCCATCCCCTTCTCTTCAGACTCGCGTCCCGAATTCCTCTGCTGAACTCCACTTCACAAATGCTCGTGATCAACTCCCGACTTGGGCGTGTAGTTCTGCCATACCGCACTAGCCCCGCAGAACCGCGCATCCAGTCGCATCTGTAAAGCTGACCGCAGCTGCGTGGTGAGGGAGCATTCAGCAAGCACTTTGGCAGCAGCCTTCAAAGCTTACATGTCTGTCCTTGCTGACCCCCTCGGCAGCCTGACTTCTTGCTATCGGAATATCAGAATTACCAAGTGAATGCAAATAACACTTGGGGAGAGCATTCCTGTGCCTTGTAGGCACTACGAAGTCCAAATCAATAGACCCCACATGCTCAACAAAACACAACTTAAAAAGACCATTGGCACCTTAGGCCGAAGAACTCATGCATGCCTCGTCCAGCAGAATCTGGCATTCCTCGTGCGTCCACCTGTCTTACACCGACCGCATTCCACGCGCGAGGAAATTCCAAAAAAGCGTCAGGCCTGTGTCCCCCCCAAAGGATCCTGCACATAACTTGACACATGCCAACATTAGCATCCTCCAAATGAGGTCCTCTTGGCTCTTTGAACGATGGCCCAGGTCTCAGGGTTCAGTTTGGACATGCTTAGATGACTCGAATCCTGTGCAAGGGTCCCAGCAGAGCGCCGGTCCAACCCTGCCAAGAAGGCAATGCGCCCCCATGCCCCGCCTGATAAGCACTCACCAAAACCAAAGGCCAACATATTGAAAACCGAGTCCCGCGCCGGTCCTCTCCTTGTGTAGTGATTCGGACCTTCATCGCACAGCGCGCAAACACAGCTTGCTGCTGCCGAATGTTCTTGGTGCGACACACTGTGTTGTAGTCAAACCCCTCCTCATCGCAGTAAGCCTGCATCCTCAGCATTCCACACGAGCTTTCTGTCCCAAATCCACAAGATCACAATATTAGCTCAGAGAAACTACGCAACAGCAGCCAACCAAACAGGGCAAATGTCCAAAATTTGAACGCATCCACGCTACCTGAAACAAAACACCATGAACAAACACGTGCAAAGGACTTGGCAGGCTTAAGACATGAACGCTTTCACGATTTTAGCATTCTCCACGTCGCTGAAGGGAACATTGCGCACCTGGCAGGATGCAGATTCATGTGAATCTCCAATGCAACTGTAATGTGTACTTTGCTTTCCTTGCACAACGTCCCAATACTGACGTGAGCAATCATTTCAAATAATTATGCTACAAAGTTACCGTTGGTGCAGGAAAGCACTGCAGGTGAGCCTTGGAACCCTTGTAGTCTCCTTGCGGTTTCCAGGCGCGCTTCCTCCAAAAGCACATGCACATGCCTTGCCCATGTCAGACAAACCTCACTGGGGCCCTTGCCTGATTTCTTTTGCCGGCTTAGCCGATTGCTGCTCATCAGGGTCCTTTCTTTTTGTTCTCAACGCCTTGCGTGCAAGATCAGCAAATAAGCTACCTTGTAGAGTTATCCAAGATTTGTGTTCGTGTTACTTCGAATTATCTGAAAACGGAGCCTTCTTCACCATCTCGTGCTGGACCCATTTTCCACGCTGGACGCTTTACTTATAACATAAACTTGCAATGCCATGCTGCATGTCTTGGGCTATGAACTGGCGTCCCATGAATGCAGGGGCTCAGGTCTCGCACGAGTGCATCGTAAGCTTGCAAGAACGGATGTTTGTGGAATACGACGTCTGCGCGAAAATGAGTTCCCAAACATCTTGCTGACATGTGATCCAACGTTGCTGACATGCGGTGCGCTGCTAGTAGCCGGAGGGCCGTGAACACATCCTTGCACATGAATCAAACTGAACGGGCGCAAGTTTGTCACTCCTCGCTCAGGACGTGACACGGAGCCGGTAGATTGTGGAGCTTGGGCTCATGGGGGACAACTTTTTCCTAAGCCTTGGCCTTGGGCCTGACCCGTGGGAAATGCTGCCTAAATATTCCCATGGACCCCTGCGCTAAAAACTTGCGAGGCAGCGCACCTTGGTCTTCAAAAGTCATGAACCAAGGCAGCAAGGTCCTAAACAACTACCTTGGGTTCAGGTTGGGTTCCCCCGCCTTGCAATAATGCTTGTACGGGATAATGATAATGGTGCCAGGGTCCGATTATATTTTCGTTAGAATGGTCCTTCTATTCGCGTGGCTATGCACACTATTTGCCTACATCATGCGCTGACTCCACTCGTCAGCCAAGGTAGGAGATAGCTGTGTTTGTATCAACAATGAAGCCACAACAAAGGTCCATCTCGTAACTCGCCCGCATCTTTTCGTGCTGAGTCCAGCCCTCAAGGCAGCAGCAGCAGCAGCGGCTTCAAATCCCCCGTAAGAAAGTGGTGTTTCTGTTCGCGTGGCTACACACCCAATCTGTTGCGAGTAGGGAATAACTGCATTTGCACCAACAAGCAGGCCACAACATGATGCTGCATCTCGTCACCCCGCCCTCATCATTTCGAGCTAAGTCCATCCCTCAGGGCAGCCAAAGCAAGCACGTTCTTTGTAACAAAATGGCGCTTCTGCTCGCGTTTCCATGCAATCTATCTGTCAACTTCAAATGTAGGCTCCAATAAGGTCAAGGTAAGAAAGAGCTGCGTTTGCATCAACTCACTTCGGGCCAAGTCCATCCCGCAGGGCAGCCAGCAAAAGCGAGTACCCTGTAACAAAAGGGTGCTTCAGTTCGCGTTTGGATATACCAACTATCTGTCAATTTGAGGTGTTGACTCCACTTGCAAGTTTTGGAAGCCCACCCCAAACCCTCAACCCTAAAGCCCTGAAAGTATAGTTATCAAGAGGCGCCAATATAGAACACCGCTAAGCCACGAGCGATCCCTTTTCGACTCAGAGGGCTCGAGTTTCATGTTGCAGGTGTGCCATACATATAAATTTGGTACAACTCACATGTACAAACTCCCATGTGAATCTACGAAAGTTACCTTGAACCCTACATACATTTCCCGAAACTCCAACCGTTTGGCACTAAACTTCACACCCAAGACCCTCAAGCCCAACAGCTAGATTCCTAAAATGACCATCAACAAAAGGAAGTCTCTTCAGAGAGCTACAACAAGGATGCTGGTGTTTAGACGCCGAAGCAACAGCGGCTGCAGCCGGGGCTGGACCCGAAACCTTCGGCGAAGGGGTGGCTTAAGGGCGGACTCAAGGGAGCCTTAACGACACGGTTGAGGGGGGCTTAAGCGGTGTTCTGCTTAACGGGGTCTATGGGGGGCGGTATGTAGAAAACAAAAAACCTTTTTGCTCAACAAAGCTAACGCAGGCAAATTGTGTTTTAAACCCTTCTTGAAATCGTCGCAAATGGCGGTGGATCCGAAATTTTCCAAACTGGCAGCTGACTCTAAGCTGATCATTTATTTTGCTGAAACAGGTCTATACGGGGGCGGCATTTTAGAAATACATGGATCTTGAGGCCGGCGGGGGGGCGGTATTTAGAAAATGAGTGGGCCTTTTCCTTTTGCTTAAAATGCACATGGGGGCAAATTTTACCTTAAACCCTTGCTTAAAGATGCCTAATTATGGGGGGCAAATTTTACCGTAAACCCTTCTCCACGACCTCTGAAATGGGATCCGATTTTTTTCTAAACTGGCTTGCAAATGGAGAGGGCCTCGGCGCCCCCCAGCCCCCCGCGCGAGGGGCTGCGCCGCCCCTCGACTGCCCCGCTATTTTAGATCGACCACCGGATTTTTTCTGAGCTGGCTGAACTTTTATTCCGCTTAAAAGGGTCTACGGGGCGGTATTTAAAAAACAACTGAACCTTTTTCTTGGCTTAAAGAAGCCTATGGGGGCAAATGTTGCTTGAATCTTTTACTTGAAAATTTTCTCAAAAGCCTCTGAGATGGCGGTAGGTCCGAAACATTTTTTAAATTGGTTTGCAAAGGCCGCTTCTGAAGTCCCGCCACCCTTGTGGCAATTGAGCAGCCGGGCAGGCTAGTGGGCAATGCTCGAATCGTGCATGTCTTGCCACCCCATCAAGCAGCCCATTCCGCGTCGCACGTATGCAATGTCTGGAGCCAAGTTCATGAAAGTCCCTAAAGATACTGTTGGCTCTTTCTTAATGACCTTCCATCCCGAGAACAACACTGGCAGGGAAATCCTGGAAGTGGATGTGAGAACAACGGTGAAATTCAGCGCAGCAAGCGCTACGTCCAGCACTCCCAGCACAGTGGCCAGCTTCAGATCCAGCACCAGCCTGCGCGCTATACACCTGCCCAAGACTTCTTGCTGCCTGCCACACGCTCGAATCGTAAAAGGTAAAGAAAGAGCGGAGGGCATGAGGCATGACCTCCGCCCAATTCCAACTTCTGCCTGCATTCCGGCACACTGGTAACTAGGACAGCGCAGGTCCTGCATGAGGGGGGAAACCCCTTCGGCATGTGCTTCTTATTCCTCACAAGCTTGACGTAATATTGGATGAGACTTAGTCTCATTCCTTGGTTGCATTATTCCAATCAATTCAAACATATTCGTCACACAATGCTTTGTATAAACGAATCAATTGATAAGATTAAATCGAATCAAAGCGCGGCCTTCTTTTTGGCAATGGGGCATGCCTCAGCGAATCCCTGCAGTTACAACGGCAGGGTTAGGCAACAAAACAGGGTGGGTTGGGTGGGTCAAAAATTTTCCACTCCAACTGAACCACTGCATACACGCATCAGCGGCAAGAAAGTTCAAGAACTCATCCACTGAACACGTGAAAAATTTTCCAAAACAATTTTGGAACATGACTGCAACCAGAATATTACTAGTTTCAAAAATTTGAAATTCAAGCATGTGTGTGAATAAGGTGTGCATCCCACTGGGAGTAATCACTTATTCCTCACAAGCTTGACGTAATATTGGATGAGACTTAGTCTCATTCCTTGGTTGCATTATTCCAATCAATTCAAACATATTCGTCACACAATGCTTTGTATAAACGAATCAATTGATAAGATTAAATCGAATCAAAGCGCGGCCTTCTTTTTGGCAATGGGGCATGCCTCAGCGAATCCCTGCAGTTACCCCCATCCTTTAAAGAGGGAGTCTAGGCATGGCTTCGATCGAGCAACCCCGTCCAAACAAGAAGCTGAGAAATCCAGTCGGCTCGGCCCATCCGCTATATTAGAAGACGTGCCAACGCGTGCATACCAAGACTTCAAACAAAGTGCAGCTTCAGATTCGACAATCGCCTTGACCCACGAGTTGGCAGGCTCCAAGTGGGCGTAACAACGAATGCACGTATGCCTGGCACCATCGTTGTCCAAGAAACAGATTAGCTGTGCGCTATGCAAAAAGGCCTTCCAAAGTTCAAGCGAAATCAAAATAGGCGCAATCTCCAAATCGAAAATCGGTTTTTGGAGTGGCTAAAGAGCTTCTTCATGACCCGTGCATCAACCGATTCACCGAAGAATCCGGCCACGCACCTATTAGGTCCGAAAAGAACAGCCCCTATTCCCCCCCAGCATTTCTCCGGCTCGCAGGCCCCATCAGTGTACAAGATCCAGGTGTCTTGTGAAAGAGGCTGGATGCACAAAGGCTCTGCAGAAGAAACACATTGCACAAGCGACATCACAGCACTGCGGAGCTCCTGCTGGGTGAAGTCGCAACCTTGCACGCAGAAGCTAGTGTCCTCACGGCACAGCAAGGTACTCGGCCAAAGAATAACCTTCAAAGAAAACCATACCCCTAAGTTCAAAGACCCGAGGTTCAATTTTCCCAGCATCAAGATGCTCTGCAAGAAGGTTGACAGCTCTTCACGCCTGGTGGAGGTGTGGCCAATGGAAATCTTTCGGGAAGCACTGTGAGACATGTCGACTTGCAAGCATGCCAAACACGGTAGAATAAGGGGTTGGAGAAATCATCGAAAAATGATGACCAAACCAATTTCAGCAAAACAAGGCCTTCCTCCAAACAGCCATAGCCACCCTCAAAAAAGCGCTCACAGAGCCAGTTGCTCCAAAGAGCAGGGAATTAACCCCTAACAAGGCCGGCTGCTCGGACCCATGGCGGTTTACACCAATGCGCAATCTCTGCCTGTCAGAAGGATGAACCCCATACTGCTTGTAAGCACTACGCAAATCGAACGTGCGTCCTACCCAGTCTGCAAGGCCCTCATCTGGCGCGGATCCAAGTGCACGCTCAGCCATGGCCGCCATTTTATCTATAGTGTGCAACTCAAAACCGCTCGCGCAATCCTATTGTGCCGTTAAGACCATTGATGGTACAATCATCGATAAGACGAATCTTGGTGGGACCCTGTCGCAAGGCGAACCTCAAAGCAATCAAAAGGCCTTTGTTGCTCTGGTCGTTCGAGAGCCACGACCAACCTGCGTCAAGCTCTTTCCTGGTCTCTTTCCAGGCCGCCAACTCCAAATCATGGTCCTGGCGGGTCCTAAGTCTTTTAAGGACACTCTTGTTAAGCCCAGAGGACAGGATCAAGAGGGTGTCCATGGTCATGGCAGGCCTCTTAACCCTTGGCTGCGAGTTGCCCGATAAAGGCATCCACCCCGAAATCCGGAAGCCCTGGCGAATGTCCTTAACCAAATCATGGTCAGGACACTTTGCTTCTTCCATTATTTCCCCAAGGAGTCGTTTACCACTCAAGACCTTTCTCAGATATGGTGGCATGGAGTCGTGCAACGCATTTTCGTCAGGCTGTAATTCCTTTGCCCTTCGCGTCCACTTTTTAACAAAATCAATACGCAATTTCGCAAGTGGGTACGAGTCTCTGCAAAAGTTAGCATTGATGGCTTCATGAACAGCAGGCTCCATGTGCACTTCGAATCCCCTAGGATGGCCAACCCGAAACGCGCTCAATGAAGACCTCAGGGCTGCAAGGGATCCCAATGAAGAAGACCTCTAATCTGAGTTTTCTTCCATTGGTCGAAGACGCTAGCATCACACGATGTAAGATCAGGCATGTCATGAAAATGTACTTCCGAAGTGCTCTCAGGGGACGGCCGGATAACACCCCCATCAAAAAGGCGCCGTTGCACAACTTTTGAGCCTTTTGGGAGGTTTCGAAGAAAGACTTCTGCAGGCTGTATCCCTAAGGCGACACGGGTGCTCTTATCATGGAATGAGATGGATGTTTGCGCTGCATGCAAATCGGCATTGGGAAAACAAAGCTCAAGCAAGGCATCCATAAGGCGTTGGCACAAAAGAAGCGGATAAGCAGCTTCGTCAGCAGTGACAAAGTGCAGGCGATTTCCGACTTTGCGTGGCGTCCAGGGTTTATGCCAGTGTGTATTGTCGCAAAACATGGACAACTGCGAGAAGTGATCTTGAGAGACCCAAAATCGCGTCAACTTTGGTCGTTGTCCCCCATGACAGCAAGAATGGAAATCCACATTGTGCCCAGGACAAAAGTTAGCCAGCTCTAGAAAGGAAGTCAACCAATATAGGCTTGAGGCAGGGTCTCAATGACTACCAAGATCCCAAGAGAAATGGCGAAGATGGAGATACGAGTGACCTGTTGGAACTGGTTCGCTGGCTCCTTTGTGCAACCCATGTGTGCCCCGCGTGCCCCTAGACTAGCCACCAGCCAGTTTCTCGCCTGGGCTCAAGCAGACTTGAGGATGAACAATGTGGTGAGGTTTGGACAACGGTCCATCACAGCTCATACTGGCCATGTGGAATGCTACCAGCCGTCCTGAGTGAAATTCCATTTGCCGAGAAAAAGTTGAGGTGTGATTGCATGAATGTTATATAGAGAATCAATTTGTGCATTTCCGCATCGACCGAATATTCTTTAGATGAGTGGGTGTGGAAGACACTTTTTGAATTGTACCTATTTTTGAATCAACGAATATGTTATCACTAAGGTTCTTCTTCACAAGAGATGGAGCTTGCGCACACAACTGTTCGATGAAATTTCTTATGAGTATCTTGCTTGGATGCGACTCTCGCGTGGACACGCTGCATGTTCATCAGCCGACGATATGTCACTTCAGGTTTGCATAGCGCGCATATGTGCACCACAGCTGCCATTTTGTGGTGCGGTCGTAAGTTAGCGTGCAGTTACATCATTTCCAGCCTGGAGTGCACAGGATGTTTGTGCGTAATTTTGCTTGGATTATGTTTTGTCTCCAGAAAACGGAGAGATGCTGTCTGATACCAATCACTCCAGCTCACTTTGCTTGACCCCACTGCCAAAACGTTCCGTGAAAAACATATTTTCTTATGATACTTTTGGATGCGATATATTTCTTGCTTGGAGAAATTTCGTAAACAATTTTGTTAGTCCGTAAGCGACAGTGGATATGTGTAGAGCGAACATTTTCCAAAAAAACGTAACTGGTGTTAAGCCTTCCGTGCTTCATGTCAAGTAGATGGTGCGAATCACATGGAATCAGTGCAGAAATTTTGTTGGCTTGGAGTGAGAGTGACAATTCCTTGTCGCAGCCCAGGGAGAGGAGCAGAGATCCCACGTGAATGGCAGAGTGCCATCGCATGAAGGGACGGAAAAAACTAGAGTGCTCATGTGAATGGCAGAGTGTCGTGCAGAGAGGGAGGGAAGCATCATGCTGAGGTTGAAACCATGCTCGCAAAGTATGTTACAGCTATAAGCGAAAACATTCCGATTTGCAGTGTTCACATGTCATTGCAGTCATGTTGCTTCCGTGTTCTCTATGCGGGCCAAGTTGTCCCGACGTATATTCGTGAGATCCCGAAGAAGTGAGTGATTCGCAGGTTGATGATCTCCACATTGTGCGTTTGAGTTCATACAAAAGCCACACAATCAACTCATGAGAATTAAAAAAAATTGAGTGGGCATCAGGAGGTTTAATTCAGCATGATGTTCGTGGCAACAAGATGCGAACACAGTTTGAAATTTTGCACATGTGCGCGTGGTCCAGATGCAGGCCCATGGACACGCTGCGGCAAAGTCCATGGCTACTGGCACTGAAAAAAGTTCCAAAACTCCAGCTGTTTTTTGATTGTTCTCCGTGTTTGTGCAATGGATTGTTGCTTTTCGTTTCTAATTTGTGATAAATGTCAATGCAAATTGCATGCGACAGCTGATCGTCCCAAAATTGTAAGTTGACATCACGACCTGCCACTGTATTGACGTGAAGATTGGTGACAATCATCGGTGGGCTGCGGGGTGCTTTGACTTTTTGTGATGTGCAGGTGGGATAATGTGATTGCAGTTGAATGCTGGATGAGACGATTCACACCACAGCGTTGCGTTGCACCACTTCTGTGTTTGCTTTTGAGGTTTGTGCTCAATGTAGTCTGCTTATAAGTACCGTGTTGCAATGGAACATTTTCGGACGAATTGTGTTATCACGAGTCCAGTGCGAGCTTCAGCCCCTTCTTTCAGTTCGGCATCCAGCTCACGTCGTTTCGAGCAACGCCGAGCACACTTTGGAAACTATGACAGCGAGGCGGCCACCTCTGTTCCCAAGTGGCTGGTCGTGGCAAGTGCAGCACAAGCTGCGGGGTTGGTTGTGAAGAGACGGCGGCAGTTGAGTGGATGTGCACGCTGGCTGCGCATACGATCGGTAGCATGCGCCGCTCAAGACTGGACACGCAGAGACCAGTTGTTGCAAATTGAGGAGAACATGCAGCAGCTTTGGGAGGAGCAAAATGCGTATGAGATTGATGCCCCCGAGGATGCAAATTCCTCAGAGAAGTACTTCGTTACCTTTCCCTTCCCGTACATGAACGGCAAACTCCACCTAGGTCATGCCTTTTCTATCACGAAAGCAGAATTTGCTGTTCGTTTTCAGCGCCTTTTGGGCAAGAGGGCCCTGTTTCCCTTTGGCTTCCATTGCACAGGCATGCCAATTGCTGCAGCTGCTTTGAAGCTGAAGGAGTGCCTTGCCCAGAGACGGAATGGAGAGCCAGAGCAAGCTTCAGTGCCATCAACAGCAGCGGAGAGCTCTAGTGCAGATGCCCCAGGTGTTTTCAAAGGGAAGAAGTCAAAGGCCGTGGCGAAGACTGGTGGGCTGGACCAGTACGACATCATGGTAGCGCTTGGTATTCCCGATGAAGAAATTCCGAAGTTCACAGACCCGAAATACTGGCTGGAATTTTTCCCGCCTTTGGCCATACGGGACTTGAAAAAATTTGGTGCAGCAGTGGACTGGCGTCGCACGTTCATCACCACTGACTTGAACCCATACTTCGATGCATTTGTTCGCTGGCAGTTCATGAAACTCAAGGATAAGTACCTAGCAAATGGGAAGCGTCAGACAATCTTTTCTATCACCACTCAGCAGCCTTGTGCAGATCATGATCGGTCCGAAGGGGAAGGTGTGAACCCGCAGGAGTACACCCTGATCAAGATGAAGGTCAAGGAAGTACCTGAAGAGTGGGTGGAAGCTGTCGGAGAAGGTAGCATTTTCCTTGTAGCAGCAACATTGCGACCCGAGACCATGTATGGGCAGACCAACTGCTTCGTTTTGCCTGAAGGTGAGTATGGCTTCTTCCGCATGCGGGGCGGGGACATTTTTGTCTGCAGCCAGCGTTCTGCGCTGAACATGTGCTATCAGGATCTGGCTGCAAGCTCCGCAGACGACAAGCAGCCCGTTTGTCTAATGACAAAAGCTGGTTCGGACCTTGTGGGGCTTCCTTTAGAGGCTCCTCTTTGCCAGTACCCAACAATCCATGTGTTGCCGATGTTTACAATTTCCATGCAGAAAGGCACAGGAATTGTGACAAGCGTGCCAGCTGAAGCCCCAGATGATTATGCTTGCCTCATGGACTGGAAGAAGCGTGCCAACTGGCGAGAACAGTACGGAGTCAAGGAAGAGTGGTGTGCACCCTTCGATGTCGTTGACATCCTGTCATTCCCTGACGCAGAAGACGATCTGCCCTCAGCTCCAGCCATCTGTGCAGCAATGAAAATTGAGTCACACCGTGACAAGGACAAACTTGCAGCAGCCAAAAAGGATGTGTACCAAAAGGGCTTCTATTCAGGAGTGATGAAAGTTGGACCATATGCAGGAGAGAAAGTCATCGATGTGAAGGCCAAAATCAAGCAAGACTTAATCGATGAGGGGCATGCAGTGCCATACTTCGAACCCGAGGCGAAAGTTGTTGCCCGATCAGGGGACGAATGTGTTGTGGCGCTTTGTGACCAGTGGTATCTGAAGTACAGCGATGAGGAGTGGACCGGCAGGGTTCGCAAGCACGTCTCGGAGAACTTCGAGATGTTCAGCGAGCCTGCTATGAACGCCCTCACTCACGCTGTCGGTTGGCTTGGAGATTGGGCATGCTCTCGGACTTTTGGCCTGGGAACCAAGCTTCCTTGGGATGAGCAATGGCTTATTGAAAGCCTCAGTGACTCTACTATCTACATGGCCTACTACACAGTGGCGCACATGGTGGAGGGATTAGAGGGGTCTGACAAGATTCCAGCCGAAAGCTTTACTGAAGAGGTCTTTGATTACATTTTTGGCCTTGCCGATTGTGTTCCCGAGACTTCCAGCATTCCCAAAGATATGCTGGAGAAGATGAGACGTGAGTTTCAGTATTGGTACCCTGTAGATCTGAGATGTTCAGGAAAGGACTTGATTCAGAATCACTTGACGATGTCACTGTTCAATCATGCTGCTGTATGGCAGAATGAGAGCCTGTGGCCCAAAGCTTTCTATTGCAATGGCCACATCATGGTGGACTCTGAAAAGATGTCAAAATCCAAGGGGAATTTTTTAACCCTGGAGGAGGCCATCAGCTCATATTCTGCCGATGCAACACGCATCGCATGTGCTGATAGTGGTGATGGGCTGCAGGATGCCAATTTCTCCAGGGAGTCGTGCGGCAAGACCATCCTTCGCTTGACCACGTTGCAAGCTTGGGTAGAAGATGCCGTCAACAACTTGCCCAACATGCGAACTGGAGATTTCAGCTTTCTTGATAACATCTTCAACAATGAGATTACAAAGAGCGTCATGGCCGCTCATGAGGCCTATTCCGGTATGCTTTTCAGTGACGCGCTGAGAGCTGCACTGTATGATATGGAGAATCTCCGTTCCCAGTACAGCATACTCACCAGTGGTGACGTGCATGCAGATGTAATCCGACGGCTTCTTCGCTGCCAAACCATCATGCTCTCGCCAATCGCGCCGCATTTCTGTGAGCACTTATGGCGAAATGTTCTGGGTAACGAGACTCTCGTGGTTCAGGAGGCATGGCCCACTCCGGAAAAGGAGTATGACCCCTTCCTGGCACGTCAATACGCTCTCATACAAGGGACTCTCCGGACATTCCGTCTGCAGCTGGAGAAGTTCAAGAGCCCCAAGAAGAAGAAGAAAGGAAAGCAAGATCAGGGACCCCCTCCAAGACCAAGCAGAGCAATAGTCTTTGTGGCCAAGAATTACAAAGATTGGCAAGTTGAGGTTCTGAAGGCTTGTTAGCTCAAGTATGTTCTTTTGTGTACGCCTTGATTTTCCTACGTTTTGGTGCGGTCTTGTAGCTTCGGAGACAGCATGCGCAGGTCTTACAGACTGTGGAGCTCAATGCAGAGAACGAACCTGCAGACAAGAACTTCATGGGACAAGTGCGTGCGGCGGAAGCCATCAAAGACCTTCCCAAGCCTGTAATGAAGCAAGTCATGCCCTTCGCGTCGTTTGTCATGAAGCAGGTGCCTGCGCAGCACAGAGAGGAGGGCAAGTTGAGTGTGTGTGATTGGTGCAGGAAGTGAAAGCCAGAGGCTCCGAGGCGCTAGAGTTGGAGCTGCCTTTTGACGAGGTTCGGAAAGTCTTGTGATGCAAGGCTGGACGTTGGGACTCTTAGGCGTTGTGACGCTTGAGCTGTGGCAGGCCGCCATGCTGCAGGATTTGGGCGAGGCCAAGATGCTGGCCTAACTGTGCATGACTTTGCCTTCGCAGCGTGCTCCGTTGTGAACTTGCACCGCAGGTCATAAAGTCGCAGCTGGGTATTGAGAAGCTGGAGGTTGTGAGTGCTGCGGAAGAGCATCCTTTGGGATACGACCAGCAGCGCGATGCTGCTGGACCGGCAAAGCCGCAAATCGTTTTTCTTGCAGACCAATTAGAAAGTGCAGCAGCGTGATTCAATGCTGCCAGGGCACATGCCTGCGCAACTTCAATTTTCATGGCCTGCTTGATTTTCGAGGATTCCTCAGTTGAAAAAGGCAGACCAGTTCGATTCTGCCAGCTTGAATCAAATTCAGCTCCATGCGGAGCTTAAGAAGAACAATCTATCGGACATCAACAATTTGACGTCGCTTTCGTTGTGCGCCTTCCTGCTCAGCCCGCATTTTGCGACCGCTTTGGTTGAGCTTCCTGGGAGCACCAGGGTGGAGGGGCCAGCAGGCTCCACCTGTCCAGGCCTCGAGCACACCTTCAATTGAAACATTCCACCTCTTTAAACACCAATCGCGCCGTGCAGCACCGTCAGCACGTTCCCACAGTCGGTCTGTTTTCGCGGGCTGTTGAGACGCTGCGGCAACATAGCTGCGTGGTCACGGCCGCGTCGGAGCCTAAAGTAGGATGAAACGCCGTACGAGCCCTGTGCAGTGCAGACAACTCTCAGGCTCGGGACAATGTGATGGTCGAACGTGTCTGTCACGCCAAGGTCGCCCGCTCAGAGCTAGCCAGCATTTGGTTGAATGCTCGCAGCTCGTTCTATTGCTGCACGTGAGGCAGCGCATCATCTGGAGAGTTGGCTTGTGAGGCCGTATGTGTCGTCACTGTGCAGCTCAACGTGTTGAATTGCAGCATATTGCAGCTATGCTTCTAAGGTGTTCGACCGCATGTAACGGGTGCAACCAATTTGAGGAGGCTGGTCGCTAGAGCTTCTCCACATGTGCTCGAAGCTCTGTCCTTTGGTGAAGTGCGCGAAGCAGTGCAATTCCCGACCTGTGGTTACGCATGGCTCCAGCAGCTAGCAGCTAGCACTTAACAGGTAATGGTTTCGCATGAGTGTCCAAGCGCATGCTTAGCTGATGCCACTGCCAGGTCGCAGCTTCCCACAGAAAGCTGCAGGGCCTTCCCAGCCTTCACAGCTTGTGGGTCTTCGCAGGGACATCGACATTTTCTTGGACACTTCGCAAGTGGGCCAAGTGGGCTACACGGAGCGGCTTGAGCCAGGCCCTGCCGAGGATGCCTCGCCTGTCGTGTCACAAGGTTTATCCTTCTCACAGATACAGCACCTCTCGGAGAACAACGAAGAGTTGCAGCGAGCCTTGGAAGGTGCGCGCCAAGAAGTCAAAGCAAAATCCAAGGCTATCTCCACTTTCAGCAACACTCAGAGGAGCCAGCTGAGCAATGTGAAGAAAGAATGTTCAGAGCTCCGCGAGGATGGCAGAGCCAAAAAGCGACGTATAAGTGAGATGGAGGATGAGATTGTGAAGCTCCAAAGAGAGCGAGACAAACTGGCCACCGATCTGAAAGAATTCCGTGACCGTTCTCAACGTGACATGCAGGCCATGGAGATGAAAGCCTCCGAGGAGCGTAGAAAGCAGGACTGCGCAATCGCGCATCTGGAATCAAGACTTCAGCAACTCTCTGAAGCAAGTCGCTCGGGCTCGGGTCATGAGCCCTTGAAAGCCCGAAACTCCGAGCTGGAGCAGGAGATCCTTGCGTTGCGTCTCCTTCTCAAAGAATGGTGGCCAGAGAAGGAGCTCGCAACTCAACTTCAGGTCAAGCATCTTGAGCTGGACCAGGAACTCCAGCAGCTGCGGAGTGCGAGAACAGATCTGCTTTCAGCAAGAGAGCAGGTGAAGACCTTGGAGAAGGGCCAGGCGTCTCTCAAGGCAGACCTGGATGCTCGTGATGCTGCCCTCAAAGAGGCACGAGAGGCAGACGTAGCCAACTCCTTGGCGAAGCAAGACCTGCTTGCCTTCCAAGATGTGGCTTTGGAAATCCTCAATGCTGCCAGAGAGTGCCGAAGCGATGTGCCAGTCAGCGCCACCGCAGCAAACCTGAGATCTGCTTGGTCATTTCTTCAAGCTCGCCTGGCTAAGGAAACCCAGAAATCTCAGCAAACTCAGCGCCAACTGGATGCGGCAGTTGATGAGCAAAAGGACCTGGAGATCAAGATCAGCAAGCTTCGGGTTGAGGCAGTATGCTCCGCTGACTTAAAGGGACAGTTGCAGCATGCACAGTCCGAGATCCAGCGTCTGACCTCTGAAGCATCTATGCTTCAAGAGGCCTTGGCGGGGAAAAGCCCAGATTTTGAGAAGCTGCCTCCCCGGACGGCAGAGTCTCAGGAGCTCCAGCAGCAGCTTGCAGCAAAGCAGCACGCCATCGATTCCATCACCAAAGAGGCCGATTCCCTTCGCAGCCAGATTGGAAAGTTGATGGACATAGAAGGCAAGGCGCGCAAGCTGGAACGGGTGAATTCAGAACTCTGGGAGGCTAACAGGGACCTTGAGAGCCGCCTGGAAAGACTGGAGGCTGCAGATTTACAGGATTTTGATCCCCGCACAACCAAAGTCCTGCATCTTGCAAGAGGGCCAAGAGGACATGATGCTCCCAGCGCTGGTGTCGACCTAGAACAGCAGCAGGCATCAAGACAGTTGGATCGCTTCAAGAAAGCAATGCGAAAGTATGTGCAGGAGTTCAGGGAGGGCATCTATCATTTGCTGGGATGGAAAGTCGAGATGAAGGGTGACAGCACATCAATGCGGTTTCACCTGACCTCAAGATATCATGAGGGTCAGGAGCTGGTCTTCCAGCTTCGACCTGCAAGCATAGGGCAAGCCGCCGAGTTCGATCTGCTTGGGACTTCCTGGGCTGAACAATTGCAAGGTGACCGTCAAGCCATGGCTTTCCTAGAAGTCTACAGCTCCATTCCTGGCTTCCTAGCGCATGTGACCGTAGATCGTCTTGCCCAGCAGACCTTCACCAGATAGTCGCAGATGGCAGTCAAAAACTCGCCAGACATCAGGCTTCATGCTCTGCGGCCCTGCGGCATTGATGTCTTGAACAGGCATCGTTTGCTTGTGCTGGAGAACAGGTCCGGCATCATGCCTGCTGCTACCAGAGGCCGCCTTCTCAGTCCGCTACGGTTCAGTTTGCTTGCCACTGCCTGCGCTCTCTTTGCCAGCTGGAAAGGCGTGGTCAGAACTAAGCCACATGCAGTGTGCAGCAGTGGGAATACCTAGCTGAGGCTGTGAAACCTAGAGGAAATACTGCAATGACTTCATAAATGTAGAAATCTATTACTGCGAGACGTGTGTGGCAAGAAACGATTCAATAGCAACAGAAGTAGCTTCTGAGGCAGACTGCTCTTTTGGGAACAGCTCGCGTCCAGATGGAGAGGAAGCCAAGGAATGCAAGCAGCGCTGGCATGTGAACATTTTGCCAGGCTTCAGTTTGCAGTTGACAGGGCAATTTCGCCGCCTGGCAGGTTCTCAGAATGGTTTGAGCGGTCTGCCCACTAGGATGCATGGGCCTGTGCACCAGGACAGTATCAATTCTGCACCTGAGAGTGGAAGATCGTTGACTCGAGTCACCCAGGAGCACAATTGCTGCAGCGGAGCCGCCTGTGAGTGTGGCCCTCAGATTTCATCAGATCCTACAAGAGATGTTACACAGGCAGCGCATGTTGCCTAGTACTGCTCTGATTCCTGCCCGCAGACTTCAAATGCCTGCCAGTTTTTCAGATTTGCACATTTTTCTGGAAGATTCTGACGCAGGACCGTGAGCTAAGTGCTTGGGGCGCTTGGAGCGTGCGCGGCCTCAACGTCACGAACCAAAGGCGTCTGCTTGCAGGCACAACTTTCACCGAGTGATCACTTGCGGGTTTGGAAGACTGCCAGTACGATGAGTGGAGCGAGTGGGCCAACCGCACGAAGTCTTGCCCTCTGTGCCATGCTTTGACTGTGTTGCCGGTTGATGCAGCTGCGTGGGCAATACCTGTTTGGATCAAGCAACTGGAGTGCACCCAAAGACTGGACAGAAGCCAGCAATCAACACAGTGCGGCTCGTGAAGTTTGTTATCTGCAAAAGAGCACGCTCTCATGCAATCCCGCAATTTTTACCGGACAAGTTGCTGTAGCCTGTCCATGCAGCAATGGCTTACAGTGCACCGTTCGCCACTGCCCAAGTGGATGGCTCCTCAGTTCCCTTCTTCGCAGTTAACATTGTAAGCGCTAGCGCGTCATCATGTCGGGCAAGGCTTGAGCTGATGTTGCTTCAAATTGCCATTTCCGCCAAGCAGCCAAGGGTAAGCGATTGAGTGAGTGAGCGAGGGGGCGGAGCGCACGCAGAGCAACAAAAACA